ACTCGGGGACTTCTAGTGATCAAGACTGTAAATATCTGCTGAAGTTCTCCTTTAACATAACACGGATCCCTTAAAGGATAATTCTGGTTTATAACAACTTGGGCCTCATTTTCATACTTTAGGTAAGTCACTTTTATCAGTTATGAAAACAATGTACTCAACAAATGACTTTAAAATTTAGAAACACAGCAGTGGAAAAATTCAGATGGGTAAAGAAACACAAGTGATAAGATGACTAGACAGGGTGTCAATAAGGCAACAGTTTAGTCCGATTATCGAAACCACTCTGTTTAAAGGTAAAAACAAAAATGGTTGACAATGGTCACAATACCAAAAAACCGTGTGCATGCACAAGAACAGTAAGTGGTTTAGGCAGGGTGTCTGCTTGTGTTTCTTGTCTGATTTCTTTTTAGCAGTCAGATACTGATCGTACTTTCTGGTAAAACTATTTACTAGTATCAATATTTCCAAATTACCACTATCTAAATTACAACTTATCTTCTTGTTAACTTCCCATTACTTTTCTGCTGATTGTATGCCAATATCAATGTGTTTGTGATAAGCTAGGATTATCTGATAACACCGGCCTAGACGATGCATATGTTGAGTTCTACTGAATTCTTAATAATTAAGAAACATATGCAGAAATCAGATGAACCCAAATTTCTAGATAACTCTTACTAGAGAGAGAATTCTTGTCTTCGCTGACCTTCAGTGGTTTAACTTTTCACCTGGCTGCAGGTGGAACTCAAAGTCCAGGACCCAATGACATCACTGTTGGTTGTGGTTACACTTTCAACAGAGCGCATTTCTGACCACACCCAGTGATGCTGGGTGAAACTGACTTGAAGCTAGCTAAACACTTATTTTTCAGTCTAGTGTTAAGTTACACTTTGACTTTTTGGGTGTGAAAATGGTCAAAAGTAACTTAATAATTGAATATTAGGGAAGTCCCTCACCAAAGAGGGGAGGTGACACTCGCAATGCCACCTATCTGAGTTTGTGTTTCTCTTTTTTTCTCTCTTTTTTCTTAAATCCCTGAACCTCATCCATACTTCATTCTACAGAGGCAGAAAAGGACAGGCAGGAGAGCAGAATAGGGGGAAAGGAGTGAAGGCTGCAAAGAAAAACAGAGAAAACAACAGAAGAAAAGAGGAGGAAAAGGTGCTCATGGTTCATTTGATGTACAGCGGGCTGAAACCAAGGGTTGTGTTTTTCTAAGCGCTTCACGGGCAGACCACCTGTGAGCCCTTAGATATTAATAGATATGAAAAAAGGTGTGTGTGTGGCTAACCTAGCTGAGAAGCTCCCATTAGTTTGATATTACTATGCTGGAACGCCAGCTTTTAACAGGGAAAAACTCGCCTGCCTTTAAAGTCCTGCCGACACACAAGGGGCAGGCACCGTAGCGGTCAAGTTCACAAAGCGTGACTGTTCTCGAGGCAGAGCTCCAGGCTTGTTCTTTCATCACCTTAAGTGGAAAACACACTACTTAACTCTGTTTTTATGGAGCATTTACATATTTGCACACTTCCTGCTGGAATTGTTTAAAAGAGGAGAGAGAGGGGTTTTATTTTGTCATATGCCAGAAGGCTGTCGAATGGGTACACCACAGGATGAAGAGGCTGCATGAGGAGGTGAAAACGTTAAGGAAGCCTCTGTTCCTGATACACCTGAAACATTTCATCCACCAAAGCCACATGCCCAATTTACTGCCACTAATCCAAATTCCCAGTGAGTCCTAATACTTTTACTTTGATTTCTTTCTATGGTTTTCCAACATGGGACAAACATGTTCTCACAGCAGCTTAGAGAGAACTTTAACACCAGGCCCTCTTTTGATGGCATGTTTAAAAAGCCCCAAAACAAATTGCTCCCATCCACAATCTCCTGATAAAGAATTTGGGACTGTGATCAGCACTTAATCCCCTTTCTGAGCAAACAGGCAGACACTGAGGCTGGAGAGGTAAGCTCCTTGCATTTACATGGCCTCTTTTAAACTTCTCAGACTTCAGTTCAGTTGTGTTAACTAATGAAATCCCTTTAAACATTCACAGCCGCTGGTCATAGGTACGATTTCACAGTGCTCTGATTGTCCATTGATTTGAAAGAAGAAGAAAAAAATGTAAGGGAGCTGTGTGTGGCTGCATGAGAAAGTCCTATTAATTAGAATTTAGGTTTTTGCACAATGCCTACAATTTCTGAATTGCACAATCATGATTTCTTGATTAAAACGTTGGCAAACAATGTCTTGTTGCTCCCTGTCAAACTAACAATGCCAAGGGCCATCTGGCAAATTAGCTCACAATCGTGAGTCACAAACAGTAATGTAAACTGCAACGTGGACATGCGTGCAAACTGAGTAGCTGGAAGGTTTACCGGTCATGACAGCCAGGCAACTTTTTCTTAATAAAAAGAAGAATGCAAAATAATGACAACCTTGTAAGTACTGATACAGAATGCTCTGCCTATTATTTCCTTCATTTGTCTTTCTAGCAGCTGGGGCAAAGGATGTTGGCACAGCTGTTTATCCATTGATCAAATATTTTGGTCCACAGCAGAATCTCTCGACATTAAGTGGCCACATTGCAATGAAATTTCTGGTGTATAGGAGGATAAGTGTCACAATCCTAATGTTTGGATGACCTCCCGACCTTTCTTCTAGTGCTAAAAATCTCACTGGAATGTAAGTAATGTCAAAATAAAATGGGTCATAGTATTTACATGTTCCCCAGAGGATGAACCCATTTCTTGGACTTTTGAAGCTTTACATAGCACCGCCCTCAGACCAAAAGGTTGTTACGGGGTGCACACGCCTTTTCAGGCTTTGGTGGGCTTCCGCATTTTTGGGCCCACAGTGCATGAGCACTAGAGTCCTACTCTGGCAGAGTTGTCTTGATTTCCTGAAAACATGAATGGCATGAAATGATCTGCTTCTAACTTCTGTTGTAGATTTTCACATTTTTATTTGACTGAATGGAAACATTTCAAGGTGTTTGTGATGCCAAAAAGTATTTTTGGTCCAGTGTGCGTCATCTGTTCCTGCAATACCAAATGTGGCTACAATACATGATATTTCATGATATTATTGTGTTTAATTTGTGTAAAGACAATCAAAAATGAGATCAAGATTTTCAGTCCAGGTCACATATCTCTCAAATTACTTCCCATGGACACTGCCACCAGTACAAACAAACCAGTGCTCAACTCATGGGAACAAGAAATTCCGCAACTTAGCTCTTCCCCACCAATCCACCCACCTACACACATACCGTAAGAAAGTTACAAATGACCTGCGTGTTACCGCACTGTGTGGGCCGTGAATGACTCCACACTGCTGAGGTGTCTGGTGTGTTGGTGAGTGTCGGGCATGTGGGGAGCTGGGGTGAGTCTTTCTCAGCCAAGCTTTCCAGAGGCCCTGAGTCATGGTCACTGGCCGATCCAATTACTCTTCTTAGCTCTGGCCATGTAACCACTTATCACTTTTTTCCAGCTGAATCTGTTCTTTATTTTACGTTCTTGTTTTCCTGAAGCTTCATCTCGACTGAGTTACACTAAACTACTGTAAGTAATCTGCCTTCAATATTCAGTATCTTTACCATGTGGCTGTTTTATGAAATGTGTTTATTCAGTGTTTCTTGCTCTCATCAAATGGATCTTATCACCTCTTGGACTAGGGTGCACATGGGGATCTCTTTGTTGAGGCTGTGAATTACACTTTTTATGAGCAGCAGACATCTCTAACATTTCATAGGTTTAGCTGTCTTTATGATAATCACAGTCAGATAGTCTAGCAGTGCATCCTTTTGTAACACCAATGTTTTTTATCTAGCTCTAATGCTGTTAGTGCAATTACAGAAAACCACAAAGGCCAAACAACATTGCTTTTTAGGGCTGTTCATCACTTCTTGCAAGTCCTGGTTTAACTTGCAGAAGTGTATTATTAGTTCATTTTTTCTTGTTAATATGTTGTGTTTGAATAACTGAATTGTTAAAATTGTTGACAGATGAATGGACGTTGGCGGGCCTTAACTTTGCGAGACAGCTGGACTCCGGAAGACTCTGGAAGAGCTACAGGCAGCTACTGGGTAGGGTGACGCAGTAAGAAGACACTGATCGTATATATATATATATATATATATACACACACACACACATATATATACATATACATACACATACACATACACACACACACAACATATATAGATATATATTAACTTTGGCATTGACAGTGTTATTGTGGACCACACAACAACTCATGAGGTGGGGATGTGGATGGGGTAGCCTTTAGTAGCCTATAAAGTTATGTAATTATTATTCCGCTTTTTTGCTGAATTATACATTTTCCTTGTGCTCTAGAAGCAAAGGAATGGCTACCAGTCCATGTCTTGTGCTAAATGGTCATCCAAAAATAAAGATATTTCCATAACTTCTTAATCCTAAATCCTAAATCCTAAGGGACCTCACTTAAACAGCAGGAGACAACATAATGCCCACAGGTGGATCCTTATCACAAAAAATGGCCAATACCTGGTTTTATGTATATTCTTGGTCTATGTCTTTGCTGGCATGGGCAGTGACTTCTTTGACAAAGACTGTCACTAAAAAGTTATGATCAATGTTAAAACATTCCCCAAAATTACAATAGACTAAGTAAAGTTCAAAGTCAAAGAAACAACCCATCTTATCCCAGTCAAAATACTGAAAACAG